CTGAGAATGATTCAGCTAGGATTTTTCTTTTTGTCAGGACGAGACAGAAATCAGTTGGGGGTGTTGGTTTTTGAGGTCCTAAAAAGAAATAAAAGGGAATGGTTTTGAGCACCTCAAAAATGGGGAGATGAGAAATAGCCCCTGAACGCATATTGGAAACATTCTTGGGCACAAGATGGAAGTTGGCGATATCAAACCCCAATTTTTGCATTATGAAACTCCAAGCTGTTGTAGAAATCATAACCAATGAAACAGCTGGAGCTATGGAATTAATAGCCAGTCAGTGATGCAAAGGCACAGCTGCAATATATCAAAATAGACTGGCTTTAGACTATTTATTGGCTAAAAGAAGGGGTGTTCTGTGAGAAAATTAATACATAAGATTGTTGTTTTCAATGACAATAAAAATGCCGTTCTAGATATCGCCAAAGAAATCAGAAAAATGGCCCATGTGCCAGTCCAAAAATGAAAACCAGTAATGACCACTAACTGGTGGGATAATATATTGGGGATAGAGTAGTAGAAGAAGCTAAGTTTCTTCTCCTTGTAGCAGTGCTACAGCTGGTTTAATAATTCTTCCTTGTTTAATCCCCTGTTTAATTTGGCTAATCACCAAAGTAGTGCAAGGCATGCAAATAGTAGTAATGCCTACAGACTCAAAATTGGCTACATCTAGAATGGCACAAAAATCATGGTATTAGGAAAACAAAATAATGTGAAAGATCTATTGGAAAAAGCTAAACTGATTTGTGAGAAAAATGAACGAGTGCTAGAAGCTAGAAAACAAGAATTATTGCTCAAGCCAAATGATTTATAAAAAAAATAAAAGGAGGGCTTGTTGTGAATTAATGTTGTAAATATTGGCTTTTCACAATTATTCTGATAAATATATTATATGCTTTTACTATATTCTTTTCTCTTAGCAAGTTACAGGCTTAGATAGGAATTCTGAATGGTAAGGATATGTCTCATCTGGAGAAGGCAAGATAACTCCAACAGGCAAGACAATGGGAGGATCAAGCTGTGGAAAACAGGCTATTATCAGCAGCAGGAAATGGAGAGCAAACTGTTACCAAAAAGCCGGTACCAGGACGTTGGTAAGGGGGAAAGAGATGAAGCCCATCTGCTCTC